CCTCGAGCCAACTCCTCCGCCGTGAGATCTCGCCGTCGAGCTGCTGATCTCACCGTCGACCCCTTTCTCCTCCTCGAGCCAACTCTTCCAACTCCAGCCCCTCCCCTCCCCCAACTCCAGCCCCTCCCCGTTCGACGCCGACGGCAGCTGGTTCGAGCTCTGGATCGGGGGATGCGACGACCCCCTTCCTCCTCCGCGAGCCAACTCCTCCGCCGTGAGATCTCGCCGTCGAGCTGCTGATCTCACCGTCGACCCCTTTCTCCTCCTCGAGCCAACTCTTCCAACTCCAGCCCCTCCCCTCCCCCAACTCCAGCCCCTCCCCGTTCGACGCCGACGGCAGCTGGTTCGAGCTCTGGATCGGGGGATGCGACGGCTCAGAGGAAGAATAAGAGGCCAAAGTGTGAGTTTTTTGTTGGGGTTTTTGATTTTTATGTGTTTAATTTTAATGGGTATCTTTTAGTTTTGTTGATTGGGAGTTAGTTTGAGATTGAGATTTTGGGCTAGGGTTTGTTGAATTGGATATTGTTCGGTTGGTTTCTGTTAGGGTTTTTGACTTTTTGTAGTTGCAGGCACAACTATTTTTGCATTTTTATCATTGTGAGGAGGTTTGAGGGGTGGAGGGAGGATGGGGGGCTGATGGTTTCTTCTTGCTGCAAGCATTTGACGGATTTTATTTAATATGAAGCTAAGATCAATTGCGGTTCAGATTCCATGTATTTTCAAATGTTGCACTATTACTACTTGATCTTTAATCAGCTTTTGTTATCCTTCCTTAAATTCTATTTACTGCTCTCTCGCTTAAGATGTAGTCCTGTTAATTAATAACTTTAAGTGACAATGGTTGTGTTATCCTCTCAACCTAAACCTCTAGCAAAGATTGATGAGGATCATTAAGGCTCTACGAAAACCCTTGAGCTCATTTGGGCAACAGGGGTAGTAGTTGTTGGCCTATGGACACAAAGGACATTTAAATTGATGGTTGTGGGCATCTTAAGACCCATCATCGGCTGCCAAAGCCATATATGTATGATCTAGTGTAAACGCGTACCCGTTCGGTTTTCTTGTGCTGCAATTAATGTTTCAGATTCATGGTCATACATATTTAAGTTCCCCAAAGGAAAATAGTATCTTCAAGCTTCAATAATATAAGTGTATGGTGTTGAACATGAGGTAATTCTAAAGTGCTGCTTATTGTTGGTCAGATTTTGAGCTTCAGTTTTGCATAGTTCATTTTCATTTGCTCGAAAATCATGTAGTTTGACACAAAAAATTATTGAAAAAATATTAGACAGTACCTAAAATTGGCCCTCGTGAGGAGTTTTTGAACTTTAGTGTCTGTTACTCTCTTGAAAGCCGTCTTATTGGGACAGCCTATTTTGGTTCCCATCAGCTTCAGCATTAGTCCTCCACTGGCCTATGTTTGATAGGGATTCTTCATACGTGATTACGAAAACTGTAGTATAACACTTATCATTTCATTTGTATGCTTTTATTCATTTACTGAAAGTTGAACCATTGTCTCTGTTCTTTTTATATTCCAGATAAGCATTAGGGAGTTTGGTCTCTTTGTTTATGTCTGGAATTGGCATAAGTAGATGTTCATCATCTATGTATTCTTTTTCACTTTCTTCCCACCTATGACTAATATTTTACTTTGAAGGAACTGCCAAAGCTAGGCCAAGATGTGGAGATAGCACACGGCAGTGAAGAGAGGAGGTACACGCGGTGACAAGAGGAGGAGATTGCATAGAACGCGGGCATCAAAAATAACCCCTCGAGCCTAAAAGAGAACCTGGAACTTACAGCTCGAGGCCACACTTTCTACAAAATTTATTAGAACCTGGAGCTAAAAGAGAACCCGATGTAATTTGCTCTGTTTTTGTCTGGGTATTTCTTGCAATGATGTAGATGTGTATGTATATTTAATGGTTTTGTTATGTAAAAATCACATCTACTGCTGGATGAATATGTTGTAGTTAATAATGTTTAGTGTACTGATCGTTCTTGCTGACTGGTGTTGTTAACAATGGTTTGGAATGTGATGCTCTCCCTGTCTTGACAATTGACATACAAGTTTTGTCTATGATCTTTGTGCTCGCACAAGGATTTATCTGATATTGAGGATGTTTGTATGCTTTCAGGTCTTTTCTTTCGCTAGAACTCATAGCATGTACCTTTTACAGAGTATCTTGCAGATTTCTTGATTTCTTTTATGATAGTATTATGCTTGTAGATGTTCATATCAAGCGTAAAAATGGTGAGCATGTTTGATGTTTTGTGTTTCATCAACACAAAAGATTCATTGCAGTTTAACAACAGATTGAATGATATTTGATTTGGAATTGCTGCAACTGTGTTAAACTACAGTTACTTGGATTATGACTTGTTTTTCACTCATCTCATTGAGCGCACAAAAAAAAGGTCTGGAAACAGATTGCCTGGCCATTTCACGGTACAACTTGAGATATCGTCAAATGTCGAACTCGTGAATAAGAAAGAAAAACAGTTTGCCTCTTACGTTAAAATCTTAAGCATACAAAACTCTAACCATCCATATGTCCATAAAGTAATTAGTAAAAACTTAAACAAAATCATCTTCAACTTTTATACAAGTAAATATTCCAATCAAATACTAAATCTCCATGAAAAATATTTTCCATAATCAAGTTCATGCAGCAGCAACACTTGGGTGTATTAAATTGGAGAAAAATTCTCTCAGTGCCTACAGATCAACATCAATCTAACTGCATCCTGCACATCTAATGAAAATTCAGCATGCTTCATTAAGCTGGTTACTCTTCGATCACATGGAAAAAAAAATGCATAAACACCAAAGACAAGAAAATAATCACCACTCAATCGAATAAAATATAACTTAAAAAGTTGTGACAAAAACATTACTCAAACCCACATAAGTTTATTAAATACCACAATTAAAGCACTAAAAGACCCAAGTCCAGCGGCAGCAGATAATTTAGGTAACATAACATTAGACTACAATCTCCTTTTGGAGTTCTGAAAAGAACAGGCTCTAGCACTTGATCTCCTTCAGCCCGTGGGCAAAGTACAAAAAGGTAGGATCACTGGCGCCTTCCTTGTAGTATGCAAAGACCAAGCTACCGTCATCATGCATGCTCTCACCCACAAAGCTGCACAGCGAACAAAAACAAAGGAAATAATATACTTCGATAGAGAGGAATATGACGAATGAGCTTTGAATTGAAGCAAAATGCTTGATCATTTAGCATATGGTGGCAGTGTGGTACTACTCTCTTACAGTGACTACTTGTTTCCTAAAAACCAGATAATGAAGCTATTATGAGAAGTATGAAAAGTATGCAAAGCACTCCTCAGATGTTCCCAAGGTTATTGATAGCAGATCGCGTCGCGTCGCGGCGAGGTACCGCTAAGGCTATTGCGCGCTATTGCGGCGAAATAGCGGCAAATAGCGCACAGTCAAATAGCGGACAAATTTAAATATATTTAAATATCCTAAATAATAAGAAAATTCATAAAAAATCTAAAAATTCTACAAATGCATACTTAATGCCTAAACATGAAGTAGATGTGTACAAGAACAAGAACAAATAACAAGAACAAATAAATAAACAATAACAATATAAGTACTATAACGGTAGAACTTTATTTCTTCACTCTTTATTCATACAATAACAATATAAAGTACTATAACAGTAGAACTTTATTTCTTCAACTCTTTATTCATACAATAAATAAACATGTTATATTTCTTCATTCATTCAATAACTCAATAAGTTATAAATTTATAATGATTTGATTGATTTCAAATGTTGATTATACAGGTTTTCTGGAAGTTGGAAATCTCAAGGGCACTAATCATTTCGGTGCAGCTGCTGGTTATGAAGATCAACCCATTTATCGCATACATATTAATTTGTTGTAAATTTCTTGTATTATTAGTAAATAACAATTGATAAGCTTGTTGTATGAGTATGAATGAAACTATGAAAAAAATCAAGAAATATAGCATCATTGATTCTCGAAATACTGCAGTCCTGAACGTGATGGAAACACCATTTATGGAATACATATTAATTTGTTGTAAATTATTTCACGTATATTTTCATGTAATCATGTGATTAAAGGTTAAACATCTGTAAATATCAAACAAGAGTCCAAGACAGGTGTGCTAACGTGCCATGTCTAATAAAGATGGAAACACCATTTATTATTGACCTTCTTCAGAGTTATTCTTGTTTATTATCTAATATAGGTAAAGGAACAGAAAAATTAGTTATGCAACTATGCAAGTTGGAGAAAGCAATTCAGGCACAAAAGGAATGTGAGATGAGGTAGGAATTCCCAAAATTTGGACCTAGTCCCATAATTTTATACATTTTCCTCTGTGGCAGATCTAGCCAACAGAGATGGACGCCGGAGCCTGAAGCCTGGAGTGGAGATGATGACGTCGATGGACTCCGGAGCCTGGAGCCTGTAGCGGAGATGATGATGTCGCTGGAGCCTGGAGCCTACAGCGAAGATGATGATGTCGAAGGAGCCTAGAGCGGAGAAGATGGGAGCGGAGCTGCGGAGTGCGAAGATGATGAAGTCGAACCGTCGAAGGAGCCTGGAGCGGAGAAGATGGGAGCGGAGCTGCGGAGTGCGGAGATGATGAAGTCGAACTGTCGAAGGAGCTGGAGCGGAGAAGATGAAAGGCGGCTAGGGTTCGGGAGTGAACTGAGGGATTCGTCGCTTTTTTAGCCTCTTTTAACAAGCGGGTTCGGGTTCGGGTCGGGTTTGGGGCAAAAAAAATCAAAACACATTTGATAGCGGGTTAGCGGTTTTAGCGGGTTTGGCCGCTTTTATCCGCTTTTGGCCGCTTTTATCCGCTATTGAGCGCTTTTACGCGCTATTCGAGCGCTTCGCGGTTTTTTCCGCTAAATCCCGCCGCGAACCCCCTACGCGTAGCGCTGAGGGGCCGCGATCCGCTATAGCCCCGCTATTGCCCCGCTATTGGCCGCTATTTACAACACTGGATGTTCCTATCAATATTGATGACTTCAAATGCAGCTTTTAAACACGATCCTAGAAAAATAGATCCTAACAACATCGACTCCTACGGGAAAACTATTAGTTGGAGTCATCTAATAGATGTGCTTCAAGAGCGTCTACAGGCCATGTGCAACTCATCATATAACATTACAGCAAGCCACCATAATGAGATCAATGATCTTTAAGCATATATAACATGAAAAGAAACTCAGAAGAATCTTGAGCAGCACTTGTTATTAGACTCAACCCGTTTAAGACAGATTTATATCTTAATTAACAAGAATTATTAATTATTTGGTTACTCTGACATTCTTTCTTTCTTTTTTCCTTCTAAATTCTTCTATATAGCGGTTGCAATTTCGTCTGGCAAATGATAACAATAGGATAAGAATTGGTCATACTTCTGGCAAATAGAATAGAACAAGGAAGAACCACTAAGATGGTTAAAACATGTAAGAGGAGCAAGCAAGCTGCACGTGTGCTAGGATTATCATTAATCATTAATGAAGCAAAACAATTGACACAAATCATGGCACTTAATCATCATAAACTAGCCGATTTTCATAGGCTAACCTACCAAATAAATAAAGAAAAAGGATTTGTATTTTAACCCCAATATGTTATGCAGGCAGAGCTTTCAAATATTGTACACAAACCAAATCAGAACAAAAACTGAAAATGGAAGAGCCAGAAACACCCAAACCAAGACTTCCATCTTTGGCCTAGGCCACGAGGGTGACTTGGAAGAGGTATTAAATGCATATCAAACAACAAATTTTCATAGTAGAAAACATGATAAACATGCAAATCAATGGCAACTGGATGTAGCACTTGCCGATATCCATACATGACAAAAAACAATAAAATTATAGTATGATATAGTGGAACTAAAATAGACAAAGGAAACAACATCATAAAAGACCAGAACGGTACAAAATTTTGTTTCCAGAGTCGTAACAAAATAAATTCAACTTTTGAGTAATGAGCACTCACAATTGCAAATCTTTGAGCTTCCCAAGCAGGAATTTTGTAGCTCCCTCAATGTTCTTCTTAAATTCCTCCGCTTTTTCACCATCCAACTTAGAATTCAAGAGCTTGATGTAACGCTTCACCCAGGTCACAAACTGCTTCTTGTCAAAGGGAGGTTGTTCCTGTCAAACAAAACAGGAATCTCAGTTCACATGAATTTGCAACAAAAAAAGGCATACACAATTAGATGGTAAAACACAAGTTGAGCAAAAACCTGAAGTCTGAAGGTGTCAACGATATCCACAACCCTGACAGTTTGGTCATCGACTCCTTCATCCTCGCCAGCACCTTCAGCAGAAGGGTTTGCACCAATGTCTACTTCACAAGCTCCTTGAACCACCCACTGCCGAAAAATAAGATATGTAAGTAATCATACTGCATTGCTTATATAGTAATAATTATATCCCCTAATCTAATCATTGACAAGAGAAGTGCTCCATAAACCTAACGTCATCCAGGAGTAAATTCTAGGAGGGAAAGATGGATATATGATATAAGGACCTGCTTCCAACTCTTAAGAAGATCCGAAAGACATGTAGCCAAATAATAAAAATCCCGAAACTGTGTACCAATTGTGGTTATTGAATGTGCTACTTTATCTAATTATAAAAGGTAATATTTTTCAATGAAGAACATCAATGACATACAAGATTGTAAGGATAAAGTCAACAGGCGAGATAGAATAAGAAATTTGGAAGAGAAAAATAATAATATTACTCAATGCAACTTCACAAACAACGAGAACACACTGTTCTCGCAACTTCAGAAACTAGGGTGAAAACAAATTTCGCATTTTGATGCTTCTGGTCACCAAATAAAAAATGGAGAAAATGGAACCTGGTTTGACATTCTTTAAGGTGGCTACTGGAACAATAGAGATATTAAGGACAACTGGTTTTGACCTACTCTTACAGCAAACAAAAACAATTATAACTCCAGGTTACAAGGAAGTAGAGAATATATAAATACTAACCTTTCCCTCAACTTCCCAAAGAACTCCATTTTCAATCTCCTTGTATGGAAAAGAGTCCGATAGAAGCTCATCGCCTGAAAAGTAAAATGATGCAATATATCATTAAATGATATTTAAAACAATGAAATTGCAGAAGTAGTTATTTTATAGAAAAGTAGCAGCATTAATTATAATCAACAAAAAGGCAATATCGAAAGAATTGCATGCAAAAATATGCTGATAGATGTTCTTGTGTTAGTACCAAAGTGAAACAAAAATGTCCAATAAACAACTTTAAGTCGCTGTACCAGACAGGAAAACACAAGTACAAACAGGCTCCAAAGTTTTGGATAACATATCGAAAGGAAGAAACTTTTGGGTCATATTTTTAATACTAGAAATCATGTTCATACGAGAATCTTCTTTAGAGGCACATACTACTTAATCACATAGTAGGTATCTATCTCCATTTCTGTTTCGTCCCTTATAGACTCCTCTTCAATTCAAATTCTCGTATATGCAACAATAGTATAATACTAAAACAAATTAAACTTTAAAGACCTTTTGATTCAAGTGTTTGTTTGCCATAGTTAAATCAAATTTGAGCACTACGTCAAATCAACTAGTGTATGAGTTGTTAAGGACTACAAGAAGACGAGTACCAAAGGTAAAGATGTTTTTATTTTTTTATTTTTTATTTATTTTCTTTTATTTTTTGGGGCAGTCTGATCCTCACAGCTTTGATAAGTAGCACTTTAACTTTATTCATTAGTAGTTTGGTCTGAGTTTTACTAGATCTAGTGTTAAGCAGCTAGCAACATATTTCTCCTAAACCTCAAATAAAAGTAGAAAACAGGACCAACAATTGACACACAGATCAAAGAATAATAGCGCAATAAGGGGAAAAAATCGCGTACATAGTAAAGGTAAAAGCAATTCATGCTTATGGAAACTCTACTACCAATGAAATCAAAGATGACGAATTTACAGCATATCAAATTAATTCATCAATGAAGTATATTCTTCCTACAACATGCAACGATCAAGAAATCAAAAAACCACATCAAATTAATTCATCAATAAAGTATATTCTTCCTTCAACATGCAACGATCAAGCAAGCAATCAAAGACGACGACTTTACAGCATATCAAATTAATTCATCAATAACGCATATTCTTCCTACAACATGCAACGATCAAGCATATCAAATTAATCATTTAGGATCTGAATTCTCTATATCTAAAGGCCGAACCCCTGAATTCGATCCGCTGGCTATCAAGATCGAAACTTTTTCCAGATCCAATGAATCAAACCCCAGATAAAGCCAAAAAAAAGATCACAATCAAACAATTTACCAGTGATAAGGTCCTGGTACACCAACATGACGCCTCCTCTATCTAAAACCCTAACCCTAACTGAAGAAAGCGAGGGCGAGGGAAGGAGGCGAGGGAAGGAGGCGAGGCGAGACGATCGGGCCAAATTTATAGGCGAGCCGAGGGTGTCCTTAGATCTTTGGATTTCTATCTTTAACCGTATGATTGGAGGGCCTTTCTGTAATTTCGCTACATGGGCGCCTGTAGTTTATTTTCGCTTTTTAGTAGGGTGGTTTCTGTAAAATTTGTCGTTGAGTCATGTGGTCTATTTGGTATGTTGACGTGCAGAGTAGGATAAATTAAGATCATTTTGGTTCTTGACGGCGGATGATTGGTTGCAGGAGACTGATCGGACGGATAGAAGTTGTGTTAGATTTTGAGGTCTCGTGTTCTCCGGAACACTGAAAGCGCTGCTTTTTTATTTGTTTTGTCCGCTCTCGGATGAGTCGGTTCATACTTCTCCTGGGTTCGCTAGAATGGCTACGTGGAATCTGGCTCGGTAAATTCTGGTCAATGTTTGACTTCGGGTAATTCTGGTGCGGTTCTTCAGGTAGTTGTCCCTCGAATCTTACATTGTGATATTTGTTCCTCAGATTATCTGCTGGTTATAGTCATTTTAGTGCTAAAAAATAATCTTCATTTAATAGTAGATAAATGTCCCACATTATACGTAATCAAGCTAGCTCTTCACTTTAAGATAACCAAAGACCCACCTCGGACGACTCGACAAGCCGACATCTAGCGAGGGCGACTCGAAAGGCATTACATGTCGACCTCCGGCTAGATCGACTTCTTGATCAACTTACTCGACCAACCATTCGGCCGACATCTTGCGAAGGTGACTCAAAAGACGGTACTTCTCTACCTTCTATTGGACAAGTAAAAAAGACGACGACTACCTCGAGCCCCTTCCCGTTCACTGATAGCTGATCACCTCACAATAAATATCATTAAATGCATGATCGGAGCCATCATTTCTCGGTCATCAATAGTTTTAATGACACATCGGATCACGCCATCACCGCACGCTCCCAATTACTTCACATTAAATGTCGAAGTGACATCTCCTCCACTCGTCGTCCGACACCTGTAAAACAGATGCTGACTTGGCCGCTAGCCCGTACTCGGTCGAAGTTACCATCCTTCCCCTCTACTACCACCATAAATATGGTTACTATTTTTGGCATAAAGGTAAAACCTTTTTCTCTACCCACAATGCTTAAGAACTTCTACAATTCAGTTACTTATTCACTCAAGCAAATTACTGACTTGATCGTCGGAACAACCGGAGAACCCAACTTCGCCCTCTTACGATTTTCTACCAGTGCAGGAAAGAACAACTCACATCAGAACCGTACATTCGGAGGGTTAGATAACCTCTGTCAACCTGATAATTTCTTTCATTTAACTGTTTAATATCAGCCATCAACACTGCTCATATGATCAGTTTCTGTAGTTAGTTGGAATTAAACTGAATGGGAACATTCTATTTTCTTTTAACTTTTTTCTTGAATTGACAACTATGTGTCTATCTCTCTCTTCATACTCTTGAATGGTGGTGGTGATATCACCGATGGTGGTGGTCATCTTGGTGGGGGCGATGGTTGAGGAGGTGAGAGTACCGACAAATGGAAGTGGAGGAGACGAAGGCGATAATACTGGTGGTGATGAAGATGACGGAGGTGGATATGGCAGCGGTGAGACGGAGGAGGCACTCAGAGTACATGCGGAGGATATAGAGATGATGGTCGTGGAGATGGTGGTGTATGTGACAGAGGAGGTGAGAACACCGGTTAAGGAGGAGACGGGGGTGAAGGAGATGATGACTAACAACAAGCATATTAGTGCCTGTTTGGTAACCATTATTTGATTTCAAACACTAAAATTGGCCCAGTTACATTGTTTGGATTCAAAAAAAATTGAATACCAGAAATTGGCCCAAATCCATTAACCACTTAAACCCATAATAGCCTCAGAATTCTAAATCCCTAAATATACCCTATCATTTACAATTCCCACTTCCGCTTCCGCCTTTTTTGACCCCGATCTCTCTCCCACTTCCGCTTCCGCCGTTTTCGACCCCAATCTCTCTCTCTCTCCCCCACTTCAGCTCTGAGTTGCTCTCTCTCCAGTTCCATCAAAACCCTAGCTCCTAGATCCAACCGGCGACAACTCTTCGCTCTCTCTCAGTTCCATCAAAACCCTAGCTCCTAGATCCAACCGGCGACAACTCTTCGCTCTCTCTCAGTTCCATCAAAACCCTAGCTCCTAGATCCAACCGGCGACAACTCTTCGCTCTCTCTCAGTTCCATCAAAACCCTAGCTCCTAGATCCAACCGGCGACGACGATCCAAATGACGACGGCTCACAAGCACTAATCTCACCTTGGACGACGACGGCAATACAACGGTGAGATCCTAGATCTAGGAGAATTGCGATTTATTTTTCTTGAATTTTGATTGATTTGCTCTTATTTCATTGCGTTATGTGTTTCAATAAGAATCCTTTGGATATGTTATTAGTTTGATTAATGATCTCGTCATGTAGTTGTTTAAGAAATGATGATTTATCTATGATTGCAGTGAAATTGATGTTTATTGTGTCATTTATTTATTTATTTTCAATTCATGATCAATGTTGTGATGGAATAGGAATCCACTTCCTAATTGTTGTGTTTCTATAATCTTAAAGCTATTGGTGAAATTATCACTAAAATTTTGGCAATAGATTGACATCAAAATTTTATGTTCTTAATGGTGTCGGTGAATTAATCACTAAAATTGTGGCAATAGCATGAAGTCAAAATTTTATAGATTTTGGCATTTTATTCCATGATTTTCTGATAGAAAGATGAATACCCATCTCAAGTTCGAACACACGCCATAAATTCTTGTATCCATATTACTATGTACCAACTGATTTTCTAGGATTTATCCCAACAGTGTCTTCTTTATCCTTAAATTTCCTAGGCCAGCAATTTGGTGTTGATGTAGAGGACTGATGTCAAAACTTTGTTAATGTTTCCATAGACCTATGAACGGGGTTGCCAAAACCCATGAGCAATGGTGGTGATAATGATATGTTGGGAATATTGAAAATATAGGCATACCCCAGCAGTAAACAACATCATTCATTTCCACTATGATGCTTCATTTGTGCTTTCTTAGTCAATTCATGCATTTTTCACAAAAGGAATCAACGAACTGCACTTCCAAAATTTGAACTTCCCTATGGAAAGCAACAATATCAGACCTCCATCTGGAAATTCATGTCTTGTGTTTCCATGCATAGTTTACAAATTCTTTGTGGTTTTGATATACATTAATGCTTACATATTCTGGTAAATGCAACTATTCAGGAGTTTCTGGTTTTGTTATCTAATCACATATTCTTATAACTACTAGTCACATATTCTTATAATTACTAGATAGAGGTATGTGGATCCCACTCATTATTGCCAATCCCTACTTGTGTTTTCATATTATATGAGTTTTACATAAATTAAATCTCTGTCTTTGCACCTGATTTACTTTTTTGCGAGATAGTCAATATATGTTTGCATATGTGTTTGAATTTGAGTAATAGAATCCTTACTTTTTGTTTCATATTATTATCTTTAGTGTTTGATAATTACGTTTAGTAATTCTAAATTTGTTATTCTTTTCCTTTACATTTACTCCATGTTACATAGTCTGATTCTATCTCTTAGATAAGTATAGTTTTACACATTAATTTTTGATGATGAAATAGTTTAGGAGAAAATGTCAGACCAACAAAGTTTACATGGTCAAAGGAAACGCGTAAGGGAAGAAGTAGGTGAAGATGATGGGAAAAAAGCTAGTTATCGTAATTGTGACTTTCATAATAATGGTAGTTGGAGCATACCGTCATAGAAGAAGGTCTAGCATCAAGGAGATAACATGGAGTGAAGATGTACGTGCTCATAAAAGAGCCCTCTGGATGGACACATTAATGAATGATACAATATGTCGGGAGCAACTACGTATTAATAGGCGTTGTTTTGAGAAGTTGTGTGCCATTTACGATCTAAAGGGGGATTGGTGACTTCTAGGAATGTCACGGTGAGAGAAGCTGTGGCACAAAATATTACTTGCTTACAATTTGTCGGGCTTAGACATTGCACATATACATCAAATGAGTACATAACTAGCAGAGCAACTGAAATTTGCAAGCATTTACTTACCCAACTTACTGTATGCTAGATTTCCTTGCTTGCACACACAACTGATGCGACCTCTAGCATTTAGAGCACAATTACCTCAGAAGCATTCAGCGTTCTGCTAGCTAAGATTATTTGTAATCCAAGTTACAATAGACAACCATAGCAATCCCTCATATAGTAAGCATATGATTATCAATAAGGAGCTCAAAAACTAAGCTATAACTAGTCTCCTGCCTCGGAACATCAGATATAAATGATATATAAGAAACAATAACATAATTACACATTTTAGTAGTAAAGGACTAATATTTCCAGATCATTTTCTAGTCTGGTCTGTGGAGCTAACACCATTGCCTTATTCTGATTTTAAAAGTCTGCACAGTCTTTAAGAATGAAGCTGATTTTGTCTTCTTGTTATTGTTTCAGGTGATTCAAGAACTCACAAAGTAAGACTTTCTGAACCGAGAGGAGAAAACTACAAAAGAAATACAAAGTGAAAGTGTATAAGCATTAAAAAGAAACTCTCATTTGAATCAGATGTAAAAGTCTTAAAGAAACTAGTGCGGGAGCAACTTAAGCATGACACTGTGTAACGGCGAAATATTAACTTTTGTTGGTTTGTACTTTTTGGATATTTTGGATCTCTAGTTTGTTGAATTGTTATATGCAATATTTTAAGTTTTTACTTTTCTTATTGTTTTGGCTAGTGGTGGGCGAGTTTACAAAGTTTTATTGATGATTCTAGTCATTTTTATTGTGATTATTAGGTCAACTATTGATATTACTGCATTTGAGATTTTAAGGTATGTTATCTATATGTCAAATTAGTTGGATATGTGATATCCTATTTGAGGCGTTTATTTCCACCAATTTCAAAGCAAACCTTATGTAATGTGAGTATCTTATTTCTAAATTATCTTTGAGCTACAAATTTAGTTTAGAATTAAAATTCTACTAGTTAGCAAACAACTCAATTAAAAATTTTAAAATTAAAATTCTAAAGTTTGTCAAACATGAATTTCAAATTGAATTCTAGAATTCAAATTAGGATGTTTCCCAAATGAAGGAATTGAATTTGAAATCCTGGATTTCAAATTTTAAAATTCAATTCTGGAATTTGAAATCAAATCCTCGAATCCAAACGTAACCTTAAGGTAATTCGAGGAACTGACATGAGAAAAAATAAAGATTGGGAGGGCTAATGTCAAGTACCTATGATCTTAGGGACTAGTACCTAAACATCTCTTTTCTAATAATATTTTCGTGCAATCTAGTCCTCCTACTTTCCCATTAGTTCCTAAACACCTCGCGGGTGGCCTAGCGGCTTGTGGCTCTGGGGCTGGGGGGCCTTTGCTCACGAGGCTGAGGGTCAGTTTCCAAATTCTGACTCTCAAATATTCAGCACCGCAGCGCCTTTGCTGTCCACCTGAGCCTGGAGCGTGAAGAGGTTATGGAGTTTACTTGGCTGGTATCGTCATCGGATTTGCAATGTCAGGCTTGGTTGAGCCCTCTTGTTCTCCTCGTCAATGAGTTATATCCTATGTTTTCCATGGCCGACTCGAGGGGTCAAACTCAGGCTCCATCTTGATACCTAACAGTCTCAGCCAAGGGACTCGAGGGGTCAAACTCAGGCTCCATCTTGATACCTAACAGTCTCAGCCAAGGGACTCGAGGGGTCAAACTCAGGCTCCATCTTGATACCTAACAGTCTCAGCCAAGGGACTCGAGGGGTCAAACTCAGGCTCCATCTTGATACCTAACAGTCTCAGCCAAGGTTCCTCGCACCCAAAATTTTACGTTGTTGATAATGCTCATATTTTTGCTCGCAGAAACAATTACCTTCAAGGCTTCAACTATAGTTTATACTTCAATTAGTTTCAACCGAACAGTAAGTTTGTGTAAAATATATTTTCCACGATAAAATCGGCCAAGATTTTAACAAACCAAAGACCGCAGCGGCATTTACTATCAATAGCCCGCACTTTTCAGTGAAGAGCCAGTATGCTTCACTGAGCTGGTTACTCACCCAAAGCACCAGCCACTGGAAAAAGGAAGTACACCAATAGACCATTACTAAACCAATCACAGGGTAATCATGCATAAACGCTAGAAACAAAGAAGAACGTTGATTATCAATCTCCAATAGAATAAAACTCAAATCAATAAAAAAAAACCGACAAAATCATTACTCAAACCCTCATTAGTCTAGGTACCGCACCGAATAAATACCAAAAGACAATAATAGGCAAGCACACACTAGTCCAGCAAGCAGCAGATAGTTTAGGTAACGTGACACTAAGACTACAAATCTCCCCTTTAGGAGGTTTAGGGCTCATCAGATCGGGCCCTAGCACTTGATCTCCTTCAGCGCGTGGGCGAAGTACAAAAAGGTAGGGTCGCTGGCGCCATCTTTGTAGTATGCAAAGACCAAGCTACAGTCATCGTGCATGCTCTCACCCACGAAACTGCAAAGGGAAGAAAGAAAACCATAGGCTTTGTTAGAGAGAGATCAAGTAAATGCATGTAATAAGCAAATTGATTAATCATCGCCACAAGGTAGGAACTGCTCTTACGACTGGCTATTTCTGTTTCGTAAAATCATAATGAAGTTGTTATGATAAAGATAGAAAGTGCACAATCGCTCCTCTGATGTTCCTATCATTACAGATGGCTTCAAATGAAAGGAGCAAACATTAACCATCGCATAGGGTTGCAAGAATAGCTTAATCCAAAAAAAACACTGGTGCAAAAACTTTCAAAAACATGATTCTAGAAGCATGCATAGCAACATTGATCACTATGGAATAACTATTACAGCCATATTTTGGGTCATTACATGGACATACTTCAAGAGTATGTGTACAGTATGTACATGCAGTAACAGCTAGCCACCATAATGAAATCAATGTTCTTTAAGGATAGTAAACACCGAGAAATTATGAAAAAATAAAACTCCGCAGAATCCAATACTCAAAAGGTAATAGCAGTTAAAATTGGGTGAAAGCAGCCTACAGCACAACATTGACCTGAAAATGCAAGTATCTTGAGCAGACACTATGTTATTAGAGAGGACCCCTTTAAGACTGATTTATATCTTAATTAACAAGAAATTGTTAATATAGCTAACCCTGCAGTGTTATGCAGGCAGAGACTTTTGGTTTGTCAATTTTCAGATACTGTCAATTCAGTATAAACAATCATGTTTCTTGTTACATTGATTGATCATCTTTTCAAATAGACAAATACTCTACACAAATCAAATCAGAATTGAAACCAATAAAGGGAAGAGCCAGAAGGGCTCAACCCAACGGTTCCCTCTTTGGTCAAAGGCATGAATGATTTCGAACAGTATTAATTTGTACCTAGCATATCAAATAACAAATTTTCATAGGAGAAAGCATGCTAAACATCCAATTCAATGGCATCATGGGACTTCGGCAATTGTCAACTTAAGATAAAAGGCATCTAACTACGTACATAAGTGACAACACCAAAAATAACAGAAATATAATATGATATTACACCTACTGGAAGAAAATAGAAGGAATCATGATAGAAGACCAGAATGGCACAAAAAACTTGCTACTAGAGCCATAACAAAATGATTCAATATCGAGTATGAGCACTCACAATTGCAAATCTTTGAGCTTTCCAAGTAGGAATTTCGTAGCTCCCTCGATACTCTTCTTAAATTCTTCCTGCTTTTCACCATCCAATTTAGAACTCAAGAGCTTGATGTAGCGCTTGACCCAGGTCACAAACTGCTTCTTGTCAAAGGGAGGTTGCTCCTGTGAAACAAAACAAACCATCTCAATTCACATGTGTGTAATTTAGAGTAATATAATTGATAAATAAAAGATGATCAATATGAGAACAGACCTGAAGCCTGAAGGTGTCGACAATGTCGACCACCCTGACAGCTTGGTCATCAACTCCTTCATCCTCACCAGCACCTTCAGCAGACGGGTTTGCACCAATGTCTACTTCGCATGCTCCTTGAACAACCCACTGCAGAAAAATATGACATGTAAAGATCATACTGGATTTCTTATTATACCAATTGTATCATAATCTGACCACAGACAAGAGAAGTGCTTCATAAGCTATGCTGCATGGGTATAGATATGGGTATGGGACAAGACAACTTTGTAAAAGGTAGGGTAGAGGGTTAATGCTATATAAATATTTATACACACACATTATTTATTGAAATTAATAATTTATATGAGAACAAGAATGATAACTAAATTCCTATAACATGCTTATGTTTCTTTTATCTTGTGGACTATAAATTGGAAAATCACTAGATTTTGAACTAGACATGCAAATGATCCTTCAAACCATAATTTGGCATCTGACCTATGTCCAACGAGTTTTAACAAGTGGATGTGAAGTATAGGATATATATATCCAAAAAAATGTACGTGAAGTAACAAGTGGATGTGAAGTATAGGATATATATATCCAAAAAAATGTACGTGAAGTGTTTTAAATTAAAACATGTGTTGTATAATTGAGTACATGCCTGAATACATGTATGCATGTATGCATATATGCAAGGAGTTCCAAGGAGTTTGGGTATGGTTACGGATACGTGTCCAAGACAGGCATGGCTTCAGATTAGAAGTACCCTACCCGCATAACATAGTTTATAAATCAAGCGTCATCCAACAATAAATCAAGAAATACTGTTTCTATATTCTTTTTTGTGGCTAACTAACTAGAACAACAGAAATATTAATAGCAACTGGGAACAACAGAAATATTAATAGCAATTAGTTTAAACCCACTGTTCTTATCTAACAAAGAGAACACTTATAACTCTCGGTAAGAGGTAAATGGGAAAGATCAAATGCTAACCTTCCCATCAACTTCCCATAAAGCCCCATTTTCAATCTCCTTGTATGGAAAGGAGTCAGACAGAAGCTCATCACCTGGAAAGTGAAATGATGTTATATATCAAGATGTGATATTTAAAACAATAAAATTGCAGCAACAATAATTTTATAATAAGCAGCAGTTAATTATAATCAACAAAAAGGCATGTTAAATCTAATATCCAAAAAGAAAAACTGGATGCAAAATACAATGATACACATTAACTTGTTAAGAGTACACAAGTAAAGAAAAGGTTCAAAAGTCTAACGTAACATATCAGAAAGAAGCAACTTTCGGCTTCTATAGAGAAGCGTACTACTTCACTATATTGTAGATATCCATCTCAGATTTAATTGTCCCTTACATAATCCTTTTCTATTCAAGTTACTTATGTATCAAAATATGCTATATAATAATAATATACTAATAGAACGAATTAAAACTTTACAAGCCCTATTTAATTTCAAGTGCTTCATTGTCATAGTTAGATCAACCCTGAGCACTATGTCAGAATGTGAGTTAAGAACTCCAAAAATATGGGTACCAAAGGTTGAGATGTTTATGACAAATTTTTTTTACCTTGGAACTCACAAAAGTGAAACTTTTCTGCTTAAGGATAACAAAATCCGATTTTGTTTTTCAAATTAAGACTCATACACAAGCCGGATTTTGTTTGTCAAATTAAGATTCCTACATGAGCCCCCAAAATTGAATAGTGGAAACAAAGGTCACCCGCTCTACATATATTTCCTTCACGTCTGATCCTTACAGTTTTGATTATAGAATTCAACTTGGTTATCACTGGTATGGTCTTAAACCTCATAGATCTAAGATTTGGCAGCTAGCAACGTAATCTGATAACCCTCAAATCAAAAAAAAGCTAAGTTTATTGACAGGAATGATGACTAATATCCAGATCAAAATAAAAGCAGGTTATGCTTATGGAAGTCTGCTAACCATGAATAAAAGAAGACAGCTACACAAATAAATATACTAGATCAAAGCTTTAGCAGTTGCAACAATACTTAATTCTTACCCTCAAATCAAAGAAGCTGAGCTATCAGCAGGACTAATAATTAACACTTAGATCAAAGGACAAACTCTAGTAACAAAGAAATCAAAGATGATGACTTTGTCGGATATCGAATTAGTTCATCAAATAAAGTACGTTCTTTTCTAGGACATGCAAGATCAAAATTTTAATTTAAAAAAAAAACATCTTATGCCAAGACGCACTCCAAACTCAATAATAACAACCAGCATATACAAAAAAACAGATCTAATCACAAGAACTACGTACAATGTCAACAATTAAGGTTTATTTCTAGATCTTCTAAGACCTGAAATATTAAAAAACCCTAATTTCGATATATTGTTCATCAAAATCAAAACTTTTTTCCAGATCCAGTGAATTCAAACATCTAAAACATACAAAAAAAACGATCGAAATTGCAGATTTTCACCTGTGAGAAGATCCTGGTAGACCAACATGATGCCCGCTCTGATAAAACCCTAACCCTAACTGAAGAAAGCGAGGGCAACCGAAGGAGGCGAGAGGGGGAACAAGCGAGTCGATCGGGGGCGATTTATAGGCGACTCGAAGGCTTTCTTAGATTTTTCGATTTCTATTCCCAACCGTACGATTTGAAGGCGTTTCTGCAAGTTCGTTAATCGACGGCTAAAAATTATTTTTGATTGTGCAGGGTGGTTTCTGTAAATTTTGGCCTAATAATTCGCATATTCGTGGTAAGATTAGAATTCGACGGTGGCAGTCGGCGATCTGGTATGTTGACCGGTGGAGTAGGATAAGGGTGAGAATAATTTAGTCTTGACGGTGCATGATTGGCCAGGAAAAGATCGTATTAGAGGGTGAGTTCTCGTGTCCGGCGGAACAGTTGAAAGCGCTTTCTTTTTTTCCCCGTTTATTTTGTTCGGCTCGGATGAGTCAGTCCTGACTTTTTTTCGGTTCGGTACGTTGAACCGGGTCAAGTAAAGTTCGGTCGTTGGTCAATTTGGCATTTTAAGATCCCGCTTTCTTTTCTTTTGCTAATAATCTCTAGCTAAATTTCAGAGAAACACCCTTAAATTTGGATGATTATCAGATAAACCCCATAGCTGTAAGATTATTTAGAAATCCCCCCAAACGACATTAATACCAATTTTCGCCAGCAAAAATAATCCCCAGCCTGATTTTATCCGCTAGCGAGAAAATTGTAAGAAAAATGTAGTTAGCCCCTGTTAGGGGCTGTTTGGTTGTAAGTTTTTATTAGGTAAAAGGATGAAAAATGTAAAAAAAGTGGGCCCTAATGTCAGTTTTCTTCATTTTTAATTGTTTGTTTGTATTTGTGAAAATAGCGTAAAGTGATTTACTATGCTGACGTGGCATGGATTCACAAATCCCTTCAAAATGGTCTGATTTTGAAGGAAAGCTGACATATGTGTCAGAAATGAGGGGGCTACGCCAATGGAATCATTTGAGAATGTACCACACAATAACCACTTTTTACACTTTCCAAACAAGCAATTAAAGTTATATTTTGCAAACCAAACAAGAAATTTATGATTCCAATGGAATCAAAAACAAACAAAGAAAAGTTGCTCGGTGAAATTGATGAGGTAGACAACAACTTTCTGAGTTGCGTCATAAATACACAATTTTACCAACAACAACCAAACAGCCTCTTAAGGGGTTTTCTGACAAATACTTAAGAGAGGAGAATGCAAAGGGAAGAAAAGCACTGGGAACCAAAGAAGGTGGAGGCCATGGGGGGTGATTCTCTCTGCTAAAAGGTCAAATATTCCTTTTAATGTGGGGTCCAACAAATGCCAGTGTTTTTAGCACAACGGGCTGGAAGTGGGCTAGGCTTATGATTTTGCAGTTTCTATAATTCAAAATGGCTGTTCGTTTGCAAGTTTTGGTACCTAATTAGTTTGAGTCCAATAACAGAACAGCTAATGCTTCTAAAGCAATTTTCGGGCAAGAATTATTGAGAAACCCCTACTGATGTTTCTTATTTATTCATAACTGTATGACATCTTTTCAAATAGACAAATACTCTACACAAATCAAATCAGAATTGAAACCAATAAAGGGAAGAGCCAGAAGGGCTCAACCCAAGAACGTTCCCTCTTTTGGTCAAAGGCATGAATGATTTCGAACAGTATTAATTTGTACCTAGCATATCAAATAACAAATTTTCATAGGAGAAAGCATGCTAAACATCCAATTCAAGTGGCATCAATGGGAGCTTCGGCAATTGTCAACTTAAGATAAAAGGCATCTAACTACGTACATATATGACAACACCAAAAATAAACAGAAATATAATTGATATTACACCTACTGGAAGAAAATATAGAAGGAATCATGATAGAAGACCAGAATGGCACAAAAAACTTGCTACTAGAGCCATAACAAAATGATTCAATACTAGTATGAGCACTCACAATTGCAATCTTTGAGCTTTCCAAGTAGGAATTTCGTAGCTCCTCTGATACTCTTCTTAAATTCTTCCTGTTCACCATCCAATTTAGAACTCAAGAGCTTGATGTAGCGCTTGACCCAGGTCACAAACTGCTTCTTGTCAAAGGGATAGTTGCTCCTGTGAAACAAAACAAACCATTCATCAATTCACATGTGTGTAATTTAGAGTAATATAATTGATAAATAAAAGATGATCAATATGAGAACAGACCTGAAGCCTGAAGGTGTCGACAATGTCGACCACCTGACAGCTTGGTGCGATCAACTCCTTCATCCTCACCAGCACCTTCAGCAGACGGGTTTGCACCAAAGTCTACTTCGGCATGCTCCTTGAACAACCCACTGCATGAAAAATATGACATGTAAAGATAATACTGGATTTCTTATAATACCAATTGTATCATAATCTGACACAAGACAAGAGAAGTGGCTTCATAAGCTATGCTGGCATGGGTATAGATATGGGTATGGGACAAGACAACTTGTGTAAAAGGTAGGGTAGAGGTTTAATGCTATATAAATATTTATACACACACATTATTTATTGAAATTAATAATTTTATGAGACAAGAATGATACTAAATTCCTATAACATGCTTATGTTCTTTCGTTTATATTCTTGTGGACTATAAATTGGAAAATCACTTAGATTTGTGAACTTAGACATGCAAATGATCCTTCAAACACATAATTTGGCATCTGACCTATGTCCAACGAGTTTTAACAAGTGGATGTGAAGTATAGGATATATATATCCAAAAAAATGTACGTGAAGTAACAAGTGGATGTGAAGTATAGGATATATATATCCAAAAAAAATGTACGTGAAGTGTTTAAATTAAAACATGTTTTGTATAATTGAGTACATGCCTGAATACATGTATGCATGTATGCATATATGCAAGGAGTTTCCAAGGAGTTTGGGTATGGTTACGGATACGTGTCAAAGACAGGCATGGCTTCAGATTAGAAGTACCCTACCCGCATAACATAGTTTATAAATCAGGCGTCATCCCAACAATAAATCAAGAAATACTGTTTCTATATTCTTTTTTGTGGCTAACTAAACTAGAAACAACAGAAATATTAATAGCAACTGGGAACAACAGAAATAATTATAGTGCAATTAGTTTAAACCCACTGTTTCTTACTAACAAAGAGAACACTTATAACTCTCGGTAAGAGGTAAATGGGAAGATCGAATGCTAACCTTCCATCAACTTCCATAAAGCCCCATTTTCAATCTCCTTGTATGGAAAGGAGTCAGACAGAAGCTCATCCACTGGAAAGATGAAAATGATGTTATATATTCAAGATGTGATATTAAAAACAATAAAATCGGCAAGCAACAATAATTTAATAATAAGCAGCAGTTAATTATAATCAACAAAAAGGCATGTTAAATTCTAATATCCAAAAAGAAAACTGGATGCAAAACAATGATACACATTAACTTGTTAAGAGTATACAACAAGTAAAGAAAAGGTTCAAAAGTCCTAACGTAACATATCAGAAAGAAGCAACTTTCGGCTTCTATAGAGAACGTACTACTTCACTATATTTGTAGATACCCATCTCAGATTTAATTGTCCCTTACATAATCCTTTTCTATTCAAGTTACTTATGTAAAAAATATGCTATATAATAATAATATACTAAAGAACGAATTAAAACTTTTACAAGCCCTATTTAATTTCAAGTGCTTCATTGTCATAGTTAGATCAACCTGAGCACTATGTCAGAAATGTGAGTTAATAGAACTCCAAAATATGGGTACCAAAGTTTGAGATGTTTATGAACAATTTTTTTTTACCTTGGAACTCACAAAGTGAAACTTTTCTGCTTAAGGATACAAAATCCGATTTTGTTTTTTCAAATTAAGACTCATACACAAGCCGGATTTTGTTTGTCAAATTAAGAATTCCTACATGAGCCCCCAAAATTGAATAGTGGAAACAAAGGTCACCGCTCTACATATATTCCTTCACGTCTGATCCTTACAGTTTTGATTATAGAATTCAACTTGGTTATCACTCGGAGGCCTTAAACCTCATAGATCATAAGATTTGGCAGCTTAGCAACGTAAATCTGATAACCCTCAAAATCAAAAAAAAGCTAAGTTATTGACAGGAATGATGACTAATATCAGATCAAAATAAAGCATGGTTATGCTTATGGAAGTCTGTCTAACCATGAATAAAAGAAGACAGCTACACAAATAAATATACTAGATCAAAGCTTTAGCAGTTGCAACAATACTTAATTCTTACCCTCAAATCAAAGAAGGCTGAGCTATCAGCAGGACTAATAATTAACACTTAGATCAAAGGACAAACTCTAGTAACAAAGAAATCAAAGATGATGACTTTGTCGGATATCGAATTAGTTCATCAAATAAAGTACGTTCTTTTCTAGGACATGCAAGAATCAAAATTTTAATTTAAAAAAAAAAACATCTTATGCCAAGACGCACTCCAAACTCAATAATAAACAACCAGCATATACAAAAACAGATCTAATCACAAGAACTACGTATACAATGTCAACAATTAAGGTTTATTTCTAGATCTTCTAAGACCGTGAAATATTAAAAAACATAATTTCGATATATTGTTCATCAAAATCAAAACTTTTTTCCAGATCCAGTGAATTCAAACATCTAAAACATACAAAAAAAACGATCGAAATTGCAGATTTTCACAGCTGTGAGAAATCCTGTAGACCAACATGATGCCCGCTCTTGATAAAACCCTAACCCTAACTGAAGAAAGCGAGGGCAACCCGAAGAGGCGAGAAGGGGGAACAAGCGAGTCGATCGGGGCGATTTATAGGCGACTCGAAGGCTTTCTTAGATTTTTCGATTTCTATTGCCCAACGTACGATTTGAAGGCGTTTCTGCAAGTTCGTTAATCGACGCCGCTAAAAAATTATTTTTTGATTGTGCAGGGGGTTCTGTAAATTTTGGCTAATAATTCGCATATTCGTGTAAGATTAGAATTCGACGGTGGCAGTCGGGATCTGGTATGTTGACCGGTGGAGTAGGATAAGGGTGAGAATAATTTAGTCTTGTACGGTGCATGATTGGCCAGGAAAAGATCGTATTAGAGGGTGAGT